CTGTCTTTTACAAGCCTGCATAGAAAAACAGTTAAAGGGACTCTATAGACACCCAGACTACTGTATCTCATTGAAGTGGATAGGGTGCAATGCCCCTGTCACCTGCAACGTTAATTATTGCAGTGTCTGAGAGTACAAGACACACTTACCATCTTCTTGCCCCCCTTACTTTGGTTATTAGAGACTTCACTTCATCCAGTGGATAACAGTAGAAAACGGGGTCCATGAAGGACCCAGCAGAATGCAATCCTTTATGTTGTCTTGCACATGTGAGGCATCTATTGCGCATTGTGCAAGACGATGCCTATTCCTGTCTGTTGCCACAACTGACTGAAGTGGTGGTGAAAACTTTTATATGAGGCAAATTAATCCCTAATTTATCTTATGTGCATATATCTTTATAGAGTTGAAATTTCACAGGAATTACAATACTGTCAAAAAGAAATGCTTTTCATAAAGATTCTGTCTTTATAAAAATCTCAAAAGTGACATTCTTTAACCTGCATTTCATTGATTTGGAAGCTTCTGATGCCAAATCTATAGCTGAGAAATTCATACATACAAGTCATTAAAAGATTTTATAGAGTTAGAGTTATAGTAATCTTTATTTTACTTTAAGTGTCAGTGAAAGATAACTATTCCCTATTAATATATACATTATCTAAAAAGATTCTAGGCATAATATGTATAGTCTAGAGCAGATGTAAAGCGCAACTAACAGTCAATAAGATCTTCAGTAAAGTATGTTTTGAACTGAGAGACCTTGTCTCTGTGCGTGGGATGAAAGGAAGAATCCAGTTTAGTTGAACTTTGGACCACTAAGATTCTAGAGTTTAATCTCTGCTATTACATGAGTCTGAAATTGTGTTAAATGCAGTAAAAGATTACTCTTAAATCTTTGTTAAAGTAACACTAGTCACCAGAACAACTACAGCGTAATATAGTTGTTCTATTGTGCATAGTATGCCCCTGCAGGCTGTTTAATGTAAGCACTGCCTTTTCAGAGAAAAGGCAATGTTAACATTACAGCCTAGGAACACTTCAAGTGACAGTCACTAAGACACCACTGTCCGTTAGTTTTCCATGCATTGCATGGAGACACTTAATGTACCTTATAGAGATGTATTTATTCAGTGCATCTCTATGAGGAGTTCCTGATTGGCGCGGAGTAGGGATCGACCGATATTGAATTTTTTTAGAGCCGATACCGATAATCTGTGAACTTTCAGGCCGATAACTTGCCGATATTCTGTACATTTACCATTTTGAAAAAATAAACAATTTCTAAAGGTAAATGCACAAAATATACATGCCACATGTAGTGGATGCAGTGTGTTTAGACAGGGAGCTGTGTTTGTTTGTGTAGTGGATGCAGTGTTTATTTGTGTAGTATGTATATAATGAATGCGGGGTGTGTTTGTGTAGTGTGTATAGTGAATGCAGTGAGTGTGTGTGTATAGTGAATGCAGTGAGTGTGTGTATAGTGAATGCAGTGAGTGTGTGTGTATAGTGAATGCAGTGAGTGTGTGTGTATAGTGAATGCAGTGAGTGTGTGTGTGTATAGTGAATGCAGTGAGTGTGTGTGTGTATAGTGAATGCAGTGAGTGTGTGTGTGTCTAGTGAATGCAGTGAGTGTGTGTGTGTCTAGTGAATGCAGTGAGTGTGTGTGTGTCTAGTGAATGCAGTGAGTGTTTGTGTAGTGTGTGTGTCTAGTGAATGCAGTGAGTGTTTGTGTAGTGTGTGTGTCTAGTGAATGCAGTGAGTGTTTGTGTAGTGTGTGTGTGTCTAGTGAATGCAGTGGAGGTGTTTGTGTAGATGTGTGTGTCTAGTGAATGCAGTGAGTGTTTTGTGTATAGTGAATGCAGTGAGGTGTGTGTGTATAGTGAATGCAGTGAGTGTGTGTGTATAGTGAATGCAGTGAGTGTGTGTGTGTCTAGTGAATGCAGTGAGTGTGTGTGTCTAGTGAATGCAGTGAGTGTTTGTGTAGTGTGTGTCTAGTAAATGCAGTGAGTGTTTGTGTAGTGTGTGTGTCTAGTGAATGCAGTGAGTGTTTGTGTAGTGTGTGTGTCTAGTGAATGCAGTGAGTGTGTGTGTGTATAGTGAATG